TTCCCTTTATGAAGAATGTTCAATTTTTTCCAAGATCAACGTCATATCATCTCCATACTCAAAATCAAGGTCACAATCTTTGAGATTGGATGAGTTGGTCCATACACCAAAAACTCTCAAGAGCTCTACTATGATGTTGTGATCTCATAGTAGATGTTTCCGTTCGATGTCTAACGTCTATTATAATTGCAATATAGTTATCAACGATAACTTGCTACTATAGTTCATGTTACTTATGAACTTGCTTCACATGCATCGGTGCTACTTCTTGTGACAGATTATCAATGATAGAATGTAACCATCTTTAGTTATCTAGAACTAAAGTAGAGGTTACTCAAAATGTTTACATAGTTACTTTAGCGCACACTAGTCATAACTACCACATCAGCAATCTTGGTACTTGGTAGATAAAAAGTAAGTGTGTTAGTTGGAAGCGCCACGTCAGCAATCCGTTTGTTTGTTAGCTAAAGATTGAGTGTGCTAGTTAGTGTGTTAGTTGGGAGCGCCATATCATCAATCCGTATGCTTGTTAGGATTATCTGCCAAGAAAATAAAATCTTATCTTCTTGTACTTGTTGGCAAAAGCTACATAAGAAAGTAAAATTATTGTTAGTATCTCTCATCTTTAAAGTTTATGTTTTATTTTCGAGTGAACTTCTCTCTAAACCTTAGTGTTATATATAATGATAAACTCCCCCACAACAACATCAGTGACTAAAGATTTTTCCTTATCAGTACAGAGAGACTCAAACTCTCCCCCTCTTTGAATAAGCCAGTCTCATTGAAAAAAAATCCATACTAACAACCATCTTACAAACAACTAGATCCCATAGCAAGTAACCTTGCACTTCATTAGTATATCCAAGAAAACAACACTTCTTGGTTGTAGGATCTAATTTAATAGTGTACTCCTTAGATGTGAGAGTATAAGCAATTAACCATATATCCTCAAAGTACTATAATTCGCCATCCGTTTATGCCTCAGTTCAAACGGTGTTAAGAAATTGATTGCACTAGAAAGAGAAAAGTTTACCAAATAAACTACGGTGTTGCAGCTTTGGTTCAAAATTCTCGGGCTAAACATGATTCGCTCAGCAAATTCTGCACCTTCTCCAACACTAATTTAGAAGATTGTGCCATGCTCACGCGTCCGACCTTTGCGAACCACATGTTTGCAACGGATGTCAATCTACAAGAGAGTGTGGTGAAAAGTTGTGTGGAATTCTGTAATCTTAGATCATAGTCTAAGACTACAGAATCTTGGAAGATGAGCATCATACTTGAACTAAAATGACCCATCTTCTTATAACTTTTCAGAGAAGCTATTGAAGCATGAATCACAGAAAATTGCAAAGCAAGAGATATATAAGGAGCCAGATATCAATCAGAACTTAAATCTAATAGTAGACTTCATTACTGAAATAAAAAAGGGAACGATATTTGAGAGAAAAAATGTAGTGAACGAGCTCATTTCGAACATATTTGCTTAGACTGAATTGTCATTTATTTTCTTAATTCTAATATTTGTTTCTAACGTGATTTTTTGATTGGAAAGAGATGCTCACATGTACTGTACAATCCAAATAGCAATAAGTCGGGACAATCGTTCGTGACTACAATTCACTCAAAAAAAAATAGAGTGTGGACATGTTCAAACAAAATTTTTATTCAAGATTGATCGATATACAATTAGTGAAATTCCGTTTGTTGTCGAACGTATTGCTAGAAGAAAATCATCACTCAAGTTCAATTATCTTGACAGACTACATCGACCAAGACAAGAAGCTGACTCAGACAAAGATTGACGAAATTATAGACACATCTCTGCTTCGGCGAATAGCATTCCCGAATATGATATTGGTGATTTGCTCAAGGCTTAGACAAGGATTTGCAAGTACATGGTTATAGTTATGGATTTGTGGGTTGCTGCTAAGAAGAAAAATTTTCAATAACTTCAAAACAAAGAGATAGAAGTTGAGATTTTACTTTTTCTGATGCATTGATTCAACTTCAACAATAGAAAACCAAAATAGAGAAAAATGTGCAAGAATCAAAGATTCGTGTAGAGCAATGAAAACAAGTTGGTATCACTAAGGGGAGTAAGCTGAAGTAGCTGTAGAAGATTTAAACTGTCTAGCACTAAGCTGTCAAACACAATATTAGCAATTTCTAGAGACTACTTCTAGTTTGGAGAGTAAATAAAAAAACTATGGCATCGTTCAAAAAAACATACTTGAACTGAGAATTGAGATTCAGAAGTTCGGATATATACTATATGAGATTGTGATGTGTAGTTCAAACGTACCACTTCCACAAGAGAAGTTTTTTTAGAACGAACTGAATAGCACGTCCAAGTGAATGAACATCTTGTTCACCTACTGTTTGCGTCACCTTCAAAATAACTATCAACACTTGTTTTGAACTTAAGTCGTGTCAAAAAACCTTCAGCTCTAATACCAATTGATAATATAAAACCAAAAAACTCAAGGACGCACTCAAGTTAACAACCAAACCATCAACACGACATACATCCTCATATAATGTGGTTCACCCTCAAGGGCTACGTACACAGAAGAATACACGCTAGACACTTTATTGCTCAGGTGAAAAGCAACACAAAAGCATCAAGGTATATATATATATCCAACACGGGCAACTAATTTCAGTTATAAATAGCAAAACATGAGGTTACTCCTCAAGCAGAATTAACCTCAACATCATATGGCGCAAATCAAAAGATCTTGTAATTGTAGCATATAAAGATATTTTTTACCCCGATCTAAGCAAAATTTGAAAGAAGCTAAAACCAAATGATGTGGAGAGAACATGTGTCTTTGACAATGAAAGAGTAAACAAAACAGTTGTATGATCTGATTGAGGCTGAGTTTTTAGATTATTAATGTAGAGATAAGAAAATTACTAGTGAGCAAGCACAAAAAATAATCAATAGTGCAAATGTTGATAGAGGAAAAATACGCAATGGAATGAGATTTTAAAAATATAAGTCTTCATCAAAAACTTTCAAATGAAAAATTACTATGAAGGATTAAAAATAACTATGTTAAAGGATATATACAATGATCTAAAGAGATTTTTGATCACATATTATTCTTGTGCTATTCGGAAAGAAATAAAATCAAGATCTCACTAAATTGGTTAATTTGAGCAAAACACATGAAAGCATCATAATTCTTGACTAGAAAAACTTCATCTTTATATTTGAGAACATTTTCAATAGATTGATGAAATCTTTGACTTTGATTGCAAGTGCATCTTGTGTAAACTCGCATGAACAATGCTGCAAAATTACAGATTGCCAAATAATAATAAGATATTTCAACCAAACTGAGACTTAGCTGGTAATATTAAACCCCAATATTTTGATTTTCAAGATGTATGAAATGTATAAATTGAGACTTGATGAAAATAGCAATATTGCAATAACATATATTTGCTAGTTGTATTCTTTATTTCATGGTGATATCCCCAAAATAAAACCTTGCATCTTTGCAAGTATATATTTCAGACTAGACTTTACTTAGTTATAATATTGCTCTCATGTTGCAAAGTGTTCACTAAATATATTTTCTAGGCAATTGAACTAGATATTTAATAATTTGACAAGATAACATGATTTACAAATGTTTGAAAACAAGAAACTTTGAAAAGATTTTTAAAAATGTGTTTTCATAATAACTTACATACAATCTAATAAAGAATTTAAAAATTTAACACATATTCAATTTCACAAATATAAGTGAACAGTCAAGAAAAAAAAGTAACTATAGATATCATCTCATAAATCTTGCGTAAAACCTAACAAATTATAAACCAAACTTAATTTAAGGAGAGTGTCAAAAAAATAAAATTTTTATAATTAAAACATAATCGTTGAATATCCAACGTATAATTTAACAAAATATTTACAATTTTAACTACATATTCGAGTTTACACAAGTGTTAACTTAATGTTCAATATCCTATTAAAAACTCCAGAACTTTAAAAATAAAATAGAAATGGTTATTGTTGCGTTCCCTAGTTGCCTTGCATCACAAAATTGAAGTAATATAAATTTGCTACTATCTCATGAACAGGGCAACTTTTATCATTTGGACCACGATTAGGTGTTCAGATCCACGATCTCTTAGCTATACGTTACTTCTGAATGTTCAGATCTGGAGGCTTGACTTGTCTTGCTCTAATAATAAGCTTTCACGGTTGTAATGTGGTCGTCTCCGACGTAGGTCTCAAAATCTTTCGGATTCTCCCAATTTTTTGAAGTCTGGGTGCATGAGCCGCGTAAGATCCGAACAATGGTTCAAATACGGAAGAATAGTCTGCTCAATTTGATAAACCTGGGATCGTCATAGGTGTTGAGATGGAATGTCGTTTATCATAGGAGCCCATACTAAGTTCTGGATTTGAATTAAGGATATATGACAATAACACGCCCCAACTATCTCAGAGTCTGCATTCGACTTCTTGATTTATCGTATTCAATACATCGGCCTATCTCAGCACAATCGTAATGGCTTCACCACAAAAACATGAGTAGGATGTGCTTAAGGTCAATTGGAGGGAGAAAAAGCATTCAGACATATCCCTTCGTAGTGGTGAGCTGAACGCACTCTGATGTCATTATAAACAGCATGCACGTGAAATGTACATGTCAACAACAAACATGCATGTCCTCCTGAGTGTCTAGACATAATCAGTGTGAGGTTAGTTGTAGAGACTTATAGCAGAAGTGCACTTGGTTCTTCACCTAGAATCGCGGTCAAAAGTGTAACTGCTGCTGTGCGCCTCCTCTATTTGCCGACACCATTAAAAGACAGATGCAAAGTAGAACAACTATACGCTTCGTGTCTTACACTAACATTGACAATTTTTTCCATATTATGCTGAACTAGTCTCACGCTTTCTCTTATCTAGCTATACAAAGAACTTCGTTGCTGGAAATATGCTGCCCTTCTTACGTTGTATCTGGAATTGACTTGATTCAGAATTTGGTCTTTCTTAGACCAAGCCTTCGGTCCCTAGACTGGTAACTGATTAATGCATTCTTCATCGAATCACGTCTAAATTCGGGCCAGTTTTCCTTCAAAAATACAAACTCGGTCCACGCCATCTGCCAAAGAAGAAAATTGCTAACTCTCTGCTCTCCGCTCGTTCGGATCATAAGATCAACATTGGATGGATTCATGTATTTTGTCATGAGATGGGACTCGAACTCGTCCAGGGTTATCTCATCGATGGAGAGTTCTTTGTTAGCCACCAGTTGAGCTATTCTCTGAGTAGCTTGAAGAATGTCCTGTCTTCCACCGTACCCGGCTGCCACGACAACCTTGAGTCCCTTGTTGTTGCGAGACTCTTCTGTCACCTCAGCCACCAGTTTTTGCAAAGTCTCAGGAAATCTCTCTAGAGTGCCCATGACCGAAAACTGAATGTTATACCTGTACGATCAACAGCGTAGAAACTTTCTTTATAAATCATTATCAAGGCTGAGTCTCGCAGGGCATCGCCAAATGATGTGATATATACGCAAGAGATATTAACTGACAGATATAAAGAATTAGATTGTTTTAACTCCACCATCATGAAAATTTTTCCAGTATTAAGGAGGAATAAGCACGGAACTTTTAGAGACTTTGAAACAGAGAGCAAAAACAGAAGCCAGGTTGTCTGACCTCATTACGGCTTCTCTGTACTCGATCAGATACATCTCGAAAAGCCCAAATATTGTGTCAACTTCAACCTGTATCCAACCTCCATCACACGATCCGCTTCAGAACCATCAAGCCTACATCTACCGCTGGTGATGCAATGTCATGAAACTGGAACCCAACACCTTGAAGATATACTAGGCAATCTTAAACATGACGAACTCTAAACGGGTCAGGACATAACATTTTGCGCTCTTTAAACTGCAATGTAACCGGAAATGGGCTTTGGAAATAACCTTCTCCCGATTCCAGTTGTCGTAAGAAAAGTAAAAGAGTGTGAGTATCTCGATTCCCCAATCAACGCTGACTCTCACAGCCTCTTTGAGACTCTTCTTGAGCCCAACTTCGAAGCATTCACTTCCCCTCACGCCTCTCGCCTTCGAGTAACGATTGTTGCCATCTAAGATAAGAGCAACATGCTTGGGCATTACCTCAGGATTCAATTCAGGGGGGAATTCGATCCTACTCTTTTGCTGGCTCATATCTGCACAACTGTCAGCTGATGCGGTCGCGGCTATCCCATGCAACGTACCACCGCAACCATTCACTAGTGCACCAGGAAACGGATTGCGGCCGAGTGTTCTGGAGCGTGAAATACGGAGTTCACGAGCTAGGTGACTGCTGATGCTCGCGCCAGGAAACGTTGATCTACTCATACTTAGTTCCATCGGTGCTGCAGCTTCACAATGCGTCTTGTAAATCGTGGACAGTTGAATGGATCTGAGCCTCACACATCTGTCCACCACAGATTCCATCAACCAGAGCTGACTGCTAAGAGGATTCACTCAGCTGGTTTTGCGATAATTAATAGCGTGATCCGAGACTTCGATGAAATTGCTGCATGCTAGAAACTCAGCTTTGGTGTCTGTACTGCTCTATAATGAAGATGTAGAGGTCCTTTTTATGTGCCTTTGCAGGCTTCAAGTGAAAAGTCCATGGGTCCCAATAAACGTTAATCTGATCGAAGAATTGACATTTCAGCCACCAGATAGTATTTTTTTAGTATAAAGAAAATTTGAAGAAAAGTTACAATTAGTCGTGTATATATTCTATGCACAGTACACCTGATTGAGAGTTATTTAAAGTAATGAAACAAACAGGGCTAAGACGGGTCTAAAATTCATCAACATTACAGCGGAATGTACTTCATACTACAACTAAGATATCTAGATATATTTAGGTTAAACATTACACAGATATTTTAGCATTGGGAAATTCACCACCGCAAGTGACTTCTCTCATAAAGCGTCAGAATCTAGTGCCATATGTAATCGAAATCATTCAGATTATATAGAATAGGTTACAATTATGAAAATAATAATAATACCTCTGTCAGTCAATATATATTCTAGATTCTTGTACATTCATAATTCCATACAACTCCAAGTCACACACTCATGAAAGTTCAGGGTTATGAATACTCTTCAGTCATATCTTAAAGTATTCATTTACCATAATGTGTTATATGACATCTAATCAAAATGTACTAACCAATAACATGATACTTCGAACTGAAGTATAAATAATATTTAATGTGATTCAATATGAAACATTCACGCTTTTGTGACATATCCAACATTACAAACTAAGGATATCATGGATGACTATCATTTATGTTTCAAGTAATCTGAATCTTTGTAAGTTATAAAGTCGTACCACTAATACATTTGAATCATGGAGTTGCATATAGATGTAGACATAAAGCCCATATTTGTAGAATACGAGGCTATTGTATGTTGGATGATGAAACCAAGATACATAGATGATACATGTTAGTCACAGCAAGAACGCAGAGATTCAACATATTCAATAATGATTGTGTCCTTATGAAACATTTGATACATCAAGACTTCTAGAAAGATTTGAGTTCTATTGAAGGGAGGAAAAAAAGGCGAATTTCACGAAGGTTTTTTGCCAAAAAATATTACAGTAAAATAAGAATGTATTTCAGAGAAATGAAGCTCTTTACATGCATTTCAAAGATAGATTTAACCTCAATAATAATTTGAGAAGATATTGAAGATGCACATACTGACCTATCACTTCAAAGCTACAGATTACATCTCCCTTATTAAATATTAGCTTATGCCATGTTTATTTTCAATGACTTGAAACTTAGTAGCCAAATGATGTCAACAATATTAAAAGATTATCAGACATAAAAAAATGCTATGTGAATGACACATCGTATAAACTGTGCTCGTGGATAGGTGCTAACCTATCCATAGAAACAAATTACATTAAAACAAGCCAAGCAATATATAATTATTGCATCTTTAATTCTATTTGTGTGTTTAGAGTACAAAGAAGCAATAAAATTATACATTTATTTATGTTGAAAAATGTATTTCTATACGATGACGCTTGGTATCTGAAGTAGTTTCCATATACAAACAATCATTTAATTATCAAGAAATATTATATTGAAATATATAATAATAGTGTGTGAGCCATATATTTCTTCTCATGAAAAGACAATCGATGAAAGTACTTTATCTAAGATATGCAAATGAAAGGATGTGTATTAAAATCCAATGCATGTGAAGATAATCAAACATCAAAATTTACTTTAATTCATTTTAATAACAATATGCTTAATTTTTATTTTCTCACACGCGCTTTGTATGATAATTTTTTATAAATATGGAATCTATTTAGTGAAAATTAAAGCATAAAAAGTATCTGAAAAAAGAGTTATGAAAAAGTAAAATTCACTAATCAAGTTTTTCTTTGTTTTTCCGGCAAAAGAAAGCTCAAATTAAAAGGATTATATCATAAAAAAATTAATCTATTAAAACTGTGTAATCCGCAGAAAAATAAATTTATTAAATTTGTTTTTTTTTCCTAATTCTTGTAGTCATGTATAGGTGATCTTCAAGCTAAATTTAGATTGTTTTAATATGACTTTAATATGATTAATGATTTCAAATTATTTTTAACAAATTACATATGTAAAACTTGAAAATTATGCATAAAAAGATCAAAAATTTATGTAGCTCCAAATTTTAAGCATGAAAAATTATTTGTAAAACAATCAGGTTTTTCATTAAGTTAATTTGATGATGTTTTTTTGTATGAAAATGATCTTCCAATTGTAAATAAAAGATTGTGTTTTACATAAATTTTTAAACTTTCATCAAAGATTTAAACTCTTTTATTGCTTCCATACACTTTGAAATTTGTCTCAAATATCTAAGTTTTCTTAATAAAATTGAAAAATAATTTCAATCTACAATCATCAAATCTCCAAAAGAAATATGATTAGACAAATGATACTATAATCTTTTGACATAGCTTTGAAATTTTGCTTCAAAACTCTATATTACAAGAAAATTTATAAATTATGGATTGAGTAAACCTTAAACAAAGAAGATGGTAATAAAGCACAAAGACAAAATATTATATATTTGGTCATACATATGAGTTGATAAATACGTGTGAAGAATGTATGACTTCGTTGTCAAGAAAAAAATTAAAAAATTTAATGAAATTATAAATAAAAATCTAATCAAAGAATGACAAGAGTTTTTGAAGGCGCATAGAAAATTGCATTTATTATTGAAATATTTTCTTGTCATTTCTATCGTTTTTATGGAGGATTGATGTATTTTATAGAAACTAGTTGATGCAAAGATCTATTGTTTTTAAGTTTAATGTTTTATTTCAGAAAAAATAATACAATTTGGTAATTGATAAAGTCACTTTTTGGTCATAAACAATATGAAAGTGCATTTCTCAAATGTGGCACTCTTTCATATTTGTATTGAAATACATCCTTATTGCTTGAAAGAAATAAATGAGTTAAGTAGAAGTCTAAGTTATAAAGTCTTAAATCATAATTGAGATCTTAGCTTATTTTTTAAAATGGTCAATTTGACATTTTATAAAGTTCAATTCATTACATACATTAAAATCAATCTTATTAAATGTAAAATTATATCCTAATTAAATCAAATATTCAGTTAAATTCAATAAATTTTTTTGGATATTTTCCCACTTGATTGCTTATTAATGTCAATAAAATAAATATAATTTTTGAAATTTTTTTGAAGGTTTGAATCTGTTCTAGAAGAATAAAATAAAATTTTTAATTTAAAACAAAAATAATTAAAATAACTCTTTGGTCTTTCGAAAAGATAATTAAATATTTAATCTTCCCTATAACCAAGTCTGATGAAGGTTTGCACGTCAATATCGCTACGAGTCAACTAGAATCCTACTCCCCATCAAGCGCAAAGGCCGTAGAGACCGAAGTAGACTTTTTTGGCTTGGTTGTTCTAGCCTGCAGTCTTGTAAGGTCCTTCGGCCCTCTCCCGCTGGTCTCGGGGACGCTCGTCACTAAGGGCTCCCCACTTTCGGGGGAACGCGAGGTCTGCCGGCTCGAGCCCGCAACCCGACCTCCACGGACCCCTAAACTCGCCACGCTCCCGGGTTTAGGGGTCCGTGGAGCCCTTAGTGGCGAGGGTCGCCCTGCACCATATATTAACCTATTTGGTTTATTTTGGCTTCAGGAATATGAGCCGGCTTCGCAAGGAGGATGTAAGGATCGGCACGCTCGGTACACTTCTCATTCATTTTCCAGTCCGAGGAGGAAGTTCAATTCTTCTAGAAGTACATCCCGTGGAAGATCAAGGGAAAGAAGTGAAGAAAGTTCTATATTATGGCACTTAATTATAGTGATCGTGTTTAGTCACATAGTAGGCCTGCATAATCATATTCGTCTAAGTGGATACGACATTTCACTTTTCATATTATTATGATGTATCGGAAAATCCATGAATCTAGCAAACAACAAAAAGCCCTTATGAACGCGTAACTCGTCACTAAGGGCTCCCCACATTTCGGGGGAACGCGATGAGGTTATGAGCAGCCATGGTGCGAAAAAAACCATGTTTCGAGTTTAATGATAAGTTATCAGTAACTTAAACTAGGATCAGAGTTTTATTCCCGATAATTGTTTTATCTTGTTGAAGAAGAGGGGAGGCCCCAAACATGCTCCTCTATTTCTTCTCGTCTTTGTGAGGGGAGGAGAAATAGAGTACATAGTACAAGTTCCATGGGGAAGGGAGGCCGCGAGGGAGAGCCCTTAGTGAGCGAGCTAAAACAGGAGGGCCCTCCCTGGTCGAAGCGGGAGGTCGGGCTGCGGGCCAGGGACCGCCTGGCATCGAGCCCGGGCGGGCAGAAAGCCCTCCTGGGCAGACCTCGCGTTCCCCCGAAAGTGGGGAGCCCTTAGTGACGAGGCTCGGGGACCCCTACCCAAGGGAAGTCGTTCGGGTTAACTCCCAGGGCCGCTAAGAAAATGCGTAGGAAAGAGCCGATCGAGTCAATGTGACACTATGGTTCTGTAGCGAAAACGCGAAGTGAAAGGTGTAACTTGAAATCAAATCTCATTACTAAATTTTAATTTTAAATATAAAATACAGCCTTGTGTGCTTTTGGACTCTTTATTTCGTACACCACAAAACCAAAGTAATGTCCCAAGAAAAAAGGGCCCCAAGGGGATTGTAAAAATTATTTGAATATTTTTTAATTATTATATATGATATATGCTTATTTTAATCATAGATGTATATAAGAAAAAATCTAATTCAAATAGTATTCTTCTTTACATCGTCAATTGAAATCATGATACTTGAATATAACAAGAAGGAAATTTTTTTTTCTGATTTTTATGAAACTTGGGAGTTTTTTTGGGTTAACTATAGTTTGATTTTGTATTGATTACATATTCAAATAAATAAAATATTGACCAAAAAAAAATTCTCAAATTCGGCCCTAAGGAAGATGCAAATTGAGTTTAACATTGCATATTTGCAAATGATTTAAAACTTTTTTGCACTCAGCAATACATTATTTTCATAATGATTGAAATTCAATTTTAAATATTTTTTATAATAAATATTTATAGTCAGATTATTCAAATTATTTTATAACTTGATATTAATTAAAAATCAAAATAATATCAAAAATTTAATTCATTTATACGTTAAATGTGTAGAAATTGGAGATCAAAGTGTGATTTGTTTGATAAATTAGGCTTTTCAAGTTTGTTATAAAAATTTAATACCATCATATGAAATTTTTTTTTAACTTTTTTGCTCGTAATCTGATTATTAAAATTTGAATATGTTGAATCTAATTAACATATTCAGTGATGAAATAGTTTATTTTCAACAATTTTAAATTTCAATATATTGGTAAAAAATTTGATAGACAGTGTTTTCAACATAACTTCTCTTCTGGACTACATTCAAATATATAAGAAATTATTAAAAAATATTTATGAATTATGAATTTTTTGAGCTTTAAGAATGTATGATTTTATATCTTTAAAAAATAAATTAGAAAATCTGAAAAGATTATTTAAAATTTTTTTACAAATTAAATTTTAATGAAATTTTCAACTATACTTAAAAAAAATTTGCAACCCCATGATAGGTTGCAACCTATTTGATTTTAAGGTCACTTAAAATTGCAAGATGTCATTTTCACCTTCATCCAGGTTTAGATCCATCTTGTTATATTCATCAGATTTGAATCTTTCATATGCCATTGTATTAAGTTTTATATTTTAAAGATGGAGCTTGTTCTGTACCTACACAGTAAAATGTACAACTATCCTTTTAAAACATTACTATAAGACTTATTGTATGACTGTATCTTGCCGCAAGCCTTTTTTTCATGATATTTGAGTAATAGAAATCAATAATGGTTTCACAATCTCATCTTTAAAATTCATGATTTTTTTTTTCAATTCACAACTTATAATTCAATTATAAATACTGAAAAATATGATACTATGGACTTCATACTTTCTTTAACTACAATGCATCAGTCTTATATTTATATTCTAGCCATACATTTTTTAAACACTTGCTTTTCCTCGTATCAATTAGGCTTGATTGATTTTGCAAACGAATTAAGAAAGTATATTTATTTTCTTCATAGGCATGACATGATGATCAAGTAGACAATCTTGACAATGCAGCTCTTGCCTGCATCGTCAGTTCTTTCAAGTTTGAAACTTAAAATAGTTGACATGTGAGAATGTCCTCATGTCGTAAAATGAAGATTATTCAAGATAATATGCTTCACATTTTCAGTTCAATTGATTTTAATTCTTGTTACAACTGCTCGAAATACATCTACGATATGCATATTTATCATTGATTGTATAATTCAATTCATGAGTTACTGGACTAAAATATGCTACTCAGGGTTCATGTGATGTTAATCATATATTATACAGCATTGATTTTTTTGGTAATGGAAATAGGTTCTTTTCTAAGTTATGCAATTATGACAAATGATACAAAATATTAAACTTCTTATTTTTCTAGAATTATAAGTGGTGATTTTGATACACACTGTTTTCATGCAGACTGGTGGATTGTTAAAAACAAAGAAGATCTGCTGACTTGAGTCTATAACAAAATTTTTAAGATCTTTGTACATGAATTCCAAAGTTTGTATTAAGATAATTTTGTTGGAATCCATGAGAGCTACTTGTAGCTTGCTATCTTCGAGCATCACCTCTGACATTTATACCTAGTTTTGCTCGCATATCATTAGCAAATCAATTAAGATTGACATAATGCACCGTGGTTGTTCACGTTCTCTTAAATGTTGTGTCACAAGCTTTTGAACAAAATATTACTTTAGGTTCGATCAAGTGATAATCACTCCTCTTTAAGGGCTTCTATTGATTGAGCCATATCGTTAAAACATGATTACAATGCATAAGCGCCGTGAATAATATAGGACATTCTGATTGCATAATCTCTTAAATTAGATCATCAGTTAACAAGACCGTTGCAAGCAGCAGATGCATTTTCGACCTCGTCATTGACATAGTCTTCATGGACTTGACATTTGAAATATAATTTGGTTATTTCCTTTACAAATTGGCCGAGTTGATGAAGGACACAACTCAAAAGTCTAGCAAGAGAGACGCAGACAAGCAATCATGGGACAATAGGTAGTGACGACCTTACAACGTCCTCAAGCTCTGGCTGTTTTTGAAATATGATTTTGCATTACGTCTATAAATAATATAAGTTAGTGCACTGGGTGTAGTTGATGTAACACATAGATATATCTTCACGACCACACTCATTCTATCACGGGTTTTTTCCTTTTCAGGAGTTTTACTTTGGCATTGACATTATTTGACAAATTCTATGTCTTCCGCATGTAAATTTTTGTCTAATTTTGATCAACTCTTTGGCCTTACTTTCATAACACGAACCGACTTGGCGCTACTCCATATCAAATCAATAGTTTTTTGTGGAGTCAAGGGACATGTCATGATAAACCCATAATATTCTCTACTGAAGACTGAATATTACGTTTTTTTCAGCAAAGTTGGAAAGGAAATCTTTGTGTTTTTAGGGTAACATAGTTTATCCTTTTTCCTCATCAAAATGGACTAACATTTTGGATAAAGATTTATACAATGATAGTTACATATGAATGATATTCCACATCATTATTTTTTTCCCCAAAATTAACAATATGAATAATTATATATAAATTCATCAACATTATATTGAAGAATATAAATTTTGGGTGGATAAATTTATTATCTGATAACAATTTTGAGATGAAAATTTCGTTGAGGAACCTTAAAATAAAAGCTATAATCATCATATCATGTTCATGGATTATAATTAAAATTTGCTGTGTAATAGAAATAAAACAATACACAATACCTGCTCTTAAAATCTCTCGATTCAATCTTGTACAAATTAAACTGTTTAGACTTCAGCGCAGAAAAAGGAAGATATCAAATTGAGATTGACCTGTGTTCAAAAAGAAAAACATCATCAACTTTGGAAATGTAATATCAAACTTTTTTCAAATGTGTATATTTTCACTCATGTAGAAAGGTGTGACATTCGGACCATGATTTAGCTTCGAACTGGACATTGTGGACGGAATGTTCTGAGAGTTTCCTTAAGCTCTGCATCGTAGTGTGTTATAACAGCACGCCACTTGGTCACAATCCTCGAGACCTGGTGGGAAGTTAAAGGAATGTAGTATGCAGTCTTAGTGCCCATCCACATAATCAGGAGTTACAAACCCAACATTCTGAGATAAAATAAGAAAAATTGTCCCATACAAGATATTGCTCAAAACGTTAAATCTTTCGCTTATTTGCCATCCGATATTTAGACAAATAAAGCATAAGCTCTACCGAATGAGTTTACGGGAAGAATAAAACTTCAGTGCAGAGTCACCAGCATCTCATCACCTTGTTGAGTACCCTTATCCAAGTGATGAGATATGCATTTCTTCCCCTTGAAAACGACATCCGACCGTTCTTTATTGTTCATCAAAGCTAAACTTTTTGCTGCATACTGAAGCGCGAAAGCCATGACTCTCTGCATGCGTGGTACTGTCTTTGACTCCGACAAGTTATGAGTACACAGGTATGTAGACTGTGATCTGCTTCACTTCTATAGCGGTATAATATATCCAAATTTTTCATATTATCTATGAAGGCTTCAACCGTGTTTGAAATTTTGTTTAACGATGAGATGCTAGCATGATTTGAGTTTTTTAAAAGGATGAGGAGTCCAATTTGACGAAGGCTAGCGCAAGTGCAATATAAGAGGTGCTCTTCGTTCACGCATGTGACAAGCGAAGGGTCCTGAGAGAATTACTACATCAAAGACTTTGTCAACTATGTACAAATCAAGTGGGCAAGCAAGATAGAGCCATACTTATCTCACTCGTGCCAACGTCAGTTAAGTCTGATGATTTTGAAATAGAATATACAGTGACTGCTATTCTGGACGCGAAGATAACATCCATTTTCCAAGGTCTTTTTGGCACACCAATCTCCTTCATGGTGTTTGATGTCCAACGACATAAGTCTCCTCATGGAACAGGTGAACTCTTAGCAGGTGAGTTTCAAGGTCAAAGAGACTGCAAAAATTGTAACTGTATTTGCCCAGCCATGAGTATGAGCCAGATTCTTGAGACTAGATCTTTTAAAGCTTGACAGAATGTTTTCTTGACGAATTCACCTATCTCAGAACTCCTTGAACGGCTAGCCTACTGAGACTTCGCGCAGTAAAGGTCAACCCACTAACCACTATTGAGGTTAGCACAAGATCCACATCTCTCTCCTGACAGTAGTCACAATAGTGACAGGACTGACCTATGTTGACCAGTGCTTAGGTCCCGACCAGTAATTGGTGAAGGGATTCTGAGACTACAGTACTAGGACCTCTCTTTCCATTTTACTGAGCAATTTAGTATGTGTTAGTTGTTACATGAGAATCTAACAGACTTTAAGCCTTCCTCATCTCTTATTTATATCTGCTAGATGTCTAAGGTTTAATATATTAGGCTCATAAAGTATTTAAATGTCCGTCCATTCCTTACTCGCGCTGGGCTCATAGAATTTGTGCTTCCACTAGTTTTTTCAGTTCCTTGTGGGTTTTACATGAGTCGATGTATGGAGTTTTCACTGCGCATTTTATGTTCTTTTATCTCAAACCATCCGTCTCATTTTCCCCCGACTTTACAGTTTTCTAGGAGCTCATGATGTTCTTTCGTTACCTTTCTTCCTTGACGATATTTAGGTTCCGCCATTTTGGTTTCCACCTTTCATCTTCTTGGCAAACGCCAGAGGTTTAGGCAAACCCTAAACATCTCTTTCTTTGTTTCTCCGTTTCTATTATCATTGTCCACGTGTGATGCGGCATATGGCTCACGAGTAGTGATATGTGTAATACTCAAAATCGAACTTTGCCACGTTTAATATTGTATTATACTCAATTCAGTCTATATAGTAATCTAACGGATGAGATGAAACGGATATACGTTAAATCTTCTAACGTTGACACGTGTCTACCTGCACGAAGCTTGACTGCAACTCTGAATTAACACAATCGAATGATATCAAAATGCATTGAACGAAACCGAAATACATCGAAGTGCACTGAATTCATACACTAAATTCATATTGCGTCAATCAATCTACATTAGACATTGAAAATCGACTCTACGTAGTAACAGATTCCGATAGTATCGAAGTGAAGCAAAGTCAGAAACTCGAAGTGAACCGAATCAAATTTCACGGCGATGCACGTGACGATGACGCACAGCAAAAAAATTTATTCAATCTTTTGATAATTCAATTCGGTTTAATACAATAAAATATAGATGTATTTTTGAAGCCATGTACTATATAGTTTAATATTATGTGTATAATACTCTAGTTTAATCGGTATAGATCACTACTCACGAGGCATACGCATGGGGTTGCATACCGTCTCGTCTTCCTTCATTATCCATCGGTCCTTGCAGTCACCCGTCACGTCTCATCCCAAGGCATGTCTTCGGTGAAGCACATGGACATGCCATGTGAGCGTTGGGGTGTAGTACTGGGGGTGGCTGCGGGCATAAGACGCCCCCGCTTCTTGCCATTAGAGCACCTATCCCATTGATTTCTATGGCTTCATTGGGAAGGCGATTTCCACAATTGAGAGAGTCTGTGCTATCACAGACATTTTTGAGGGAGTCTATGCTATCACAGTTCTGTCTCCACCAGCTTTTCATGTTTTGGCACAATTTCAGCCCCGGCCGACTAATTGTCGTCACTTACGCAGTTAGTATGTGGGCGATACCCATAATCAACATATGGCACGTTTGTGAAGCCGAGCATCGTCCAATAAACGCTTGCCAAGAGCAGCCTTGTCTTCTACTCTCTCACAGCGCAGAGAGGTTGCCCTGAGGAGGTGTGCCGATTCGATTCACGAAAATAGTCTACAAAACGAGCGCTCAACTGAATGAGGAGAACTTTTGGTATTACTCAGACTCACCCCTCATGCACCTTCAGATCCTACTGAGCTCTGTACATCCAGTCTGAATTAGGGGATAATGAGTTTTGTAGGTGTTATCGTCACCAAACTCAATCGGGTCATCGACCCACCTCTAGATAGAAACCGGATAGGAGTAGGTTCAATCGACAAGTATGTAGTCTGCAATAAGTCCTCAGACACAATATGAAGACATATTACATGCCAGCATTTGTATTAGATGAACTTTCATTCCATGAGAAATAAAGTTTCTTGCAGAGAAGCATGTATGTGTTTGGCGTCCATTCTGTTTGAGATACGATGTCCATACAAACAATTCCTTGAAGCTCATAACTGGGCAGCTTTCTTGCCCTGTTCATATACTCCTGCCATGTTCCTTTTCGAATGTTATCCTCTACTGTACCATTATGAGGATTTATGCCAACAAGGATAAGGGAGATTCGGAGAAAGGCGGGGCTCGCATGGTACATTAACTCGATTTGAAACCATGGGTCCTAGCAGATATAAATAAGAGATGAATAATGTATGCAAAAAGCTTAAGACAAGCCCTTTTTCGCCCCGCTGCTGGGGAACAATCTTACCAAAGATGTGCAAGTTATATCTTTGGTTTGATGTAAGTTACTAACCTGAAGAGAAGATAGTACTTCAGGCTATTGTAGGGGCATGCCCCATACTAATACTAGAAGTTAAGGAAGGTTAGTAATATACCTTCTTGTGGAGAGAGCTGTACAAAAGAATACTGAAGATAGTTCTTCGCAAAGCTCTAGAGAAGAATCACTTGGAGTGGAAGATTTGAGTGACTTGGAGGCATTGCAGCCAAGAGAAAGCATGGTTATAATGCAAAGATCTAGGTTTCAATACAAGCTTTTTTTGTGTAAGATGAAGAAAGACCCGGATGAGTGGTTGCAAGATTTTATTGGTATTTCTCAAGTCAATGGGGAGGATGCTATCAAGCTAAGTATATTGGCTGGAATGCTAAGAGAAGAAGCCAGGCCTTGGTATTAAGCATGTGCAGTCAATATCAAGGCTGATTGGGACTTGTTTAAAACTGCCTTCTTCTTGAAGTTTAGGAATGTGGGAGAGGATAAGAGAGTATACTGAGGCACTCATTAAGATTGGCCAAATGAAGATGAAAAGAGAAAGTGTCCGTAGATTTTTGCAGAAGTTTTAGCTGGTGGCAAAGAAGATTGATCCTCCGCAAGTCAATTCCATGCTCATGTCATGGTTTGTGTCTTCCCTGCTTAGACAGATGAGTATTTCTGTCCGGCAAGCTCACCCAACCACCTTGGAGGAGGCTGTGGAAGGAACCATGTCCTATAGAAGTGCCGAAGTCTCTAGTTCCAAGAGCTTCTGTAAGCCGTAGCATAAAATACGTACACACACAAAAACGGTTCTTATAGTTTTTGTGTGTGTACGTATTTATGGAAAGCATTGGATTTTATTCGTTCAATAGAAAAACACTCTTGCTTTGGGTTTCATTTATCGTTCAGAATAGTACTGTATAACTGTTCCCAGCTTGTAACATATTTCTCAAAGATTAATCTTCCTTTGTATAAATTTAATTTTGTCTTAAAAAAGCAAACGCATTCGGTGTGAGTTTTTTTCGTGTAATTGTGCTGATAAATTTTTTCTGATCAGGTCTAGAGTAAACAAAATTCAGTGTATCTTGTTGCTTGTGTGTATTTAAGTGAGTTGTGTGTGTTACATTCAAATAAGAAATAGCAGAAAAACAACATGTTACACGGAGGATTTAGATGGAAATCTAATAGACGATCCGGAGCTGCAAATGTCAGATTCAATGGCCCTGGTCTTTATTGCTGATCGAAAATAGCTTACAAAGAACATGCTGAACAAGGAAACAAATTATTTCATTCTAAATACATAAGCTATCATCCTGCACTTGTTACACAATCGGAGACTAATATAATTCTGCCGATTGGAGTTATTACTAATCATCTATGCCTCTTCTAACGTGAACTACCGTTGAATGATAGGGATGATACGGCTGATTCCTTGGATGCAGGCGCTGGTGGTAGAATTGTCTTCTGCACAAGATTGAAGAAACATTCGCATCACTTCAGATTCTCCAATCTATACACTGTGGCCAAAATGGAACAAGTCGGAAGCGTTTTCATTCTGTAGTGGATGCGTGAAGCCTGGAACAAGTGGGATCCACTGCAGAAGATGTCCAGCAGGAGGAAGATCAGTTGTCGTCCTTCTTCTGAACTTCAGCCATGTGTCCTGGTGTTGCAGACCGCGCATTGATGCTATCAGAATCTGATCAAGACATCTCCGGAGCTAGAGAAGAAGATTCAGACCTTACGGAAGGAGTGGGAGGGGATTTTGAAAGGAACGGCAATGGAGGAAATTTGAAGCCACGAGGAGGAGTCGAATCTGGAAAGTGGACACTGGGACGAGGAGGAGTCGAAGCCGGGAAGTGGAGACTGGGAAAAGGAGGAGTAGATGTCGGGAAGTGGAGACTGGGACGAGGAGGAGTAGAGGCCGGAAAGTGGAAATTGGGAAGAGGAGGAATTGAAGTTGGAATGGGGAGACTGGGAAGAGGAGCTGCAGGAATGATGGTCTTCCACTTGAAGTGAGGGAAAGGGGTCCAAGTCCAGTAGGCACTGATCCATGATGAACTGTCCGAGTCTTTTGCTGGAGCACTTGAATGCGAAAGCAATACTCTAGCTCCCATGGCCGAAGGTAAGCAGAACGTTGCAATGGCCATGAAACACATCAGTTTCGCTAGAGATCCCATCTGCGACCCGTACGTCGTCATCGTCTTGACTGAACTGGATCTTTGCGTTGTAGATTAGGCTCTTCTTCTGCTTACAAGACGGCTCTTGTGTATAGGATACGCTGACAGAAGAGTATATATAATAGCAGATGCACGTCTAGGCATGCGCGGCTGCTCGTGAGACGGTCAAGAAGAGTTGGTAATTCGGTCATCACCTACGACTGAGTGTTGGATCTACCAGAATAGATGATTCGCGTCTACCTTGTGCAAACGTCGTAGGCAGGGAAAAGCTAGTCACTGACTGGGCATCGATAGAGGGAATATTCTTAAAAGGATGTGCTTCAATTATGTCAAGTGTTGTTGGTAGGCGGCATATAATATTGTTTTTTGTTGCATAAACGGTCCCACTTTTGTAAATCATCGTTTCTTAAAGTTGTTCTGAATTCTTTGATGTGATATTGTACTAGGCTTCAAAGTCCATGATTAAAAACAATAAATTGTTACTCAGGTCTCAGGTGCCAAAGAAGTTGGCCAAACTCAAAAGTTAAGTGGACCTTGTATGAAATTGATAAGATATCAAGGAAGATAGAAAGGATTTTCAACTACTAGCATTTGTTTTCATAAACCTTGAGTGTCTCTGATTGATATTATTTCGCTGGTCACGGCGAGATTGTCAACGGAGTTTGTCAACTAACTTGCAGAACATCTAACTTCCAAGATCCAACCATCCAACTTGCAAATCTAACAGATTAGATGTCTCATTGTATGCAATCTGACTTAGATTGCATATGTCTGTAGATTATAAGCATGCGATGATAGTCAATCGTATTTTTAAAGGTACGTAAGTAAAATATATCAAAATCAAAATTGATCAAAATTCGATTACTACTGTCAGGGTCTGGATGGACACGACAGAAATGTGTCAGAAGTTTGGTTCCGATGTCTCCTAAATAGCTGGTTGCGTCTGTTAATTGGTTCTCAAAAGTATAATTCATCGGTTGGTCTCTCATTCACGAGCTCTAGAACCCTTACATTACGCTAATCAGACTGCAGTCCCCTCGATGAAACACAGTTTTAGAAACCCACTGATCAGCTGAATTGATCTTCATAGACCTCATAGCTTTGGAAGACACCACCTTCAGCTAGTTTCTATCGTGTAGAAGAAATACTTGCAACTCATAGGTTCAAATAGCTCTGACAGAGCTATTTCAAATAACCGGATCAAATGATCCGGTTAACGAGCAATCTGCATCCGAGATTCAGAAGTATGATTGAAGTTTATGTAGACATCTTGGTATACCACCTGTCACTCCTCTGTCTTTGCATCACTAAACTCCCTGCCGGCGAGAGAGCTCTTTCTCTATTGCCACTGACCTAACGATGAAATCTGTAATGATGATGAGCTTTTGCGGCACTTGCAAACTATCAAATCACCGACGTTTTTTTCTTGACTTGTTAAGGTGACCAGTACGTGATGGCGAACTTATTTGGATAGGATCGAAAGACGATTGAAACATCGGGACTTTTCAAACAGTGAGTTTATATTCTGACTCAACCTACCAGCAACATATTTGAGTTATTGAAGGCGTTCTCGAACAGCTCCTTGATTGGATTCACTCGACAATAAGTAGGAATGAAGTCAAGGGATGGGTACGTATAACCCGGAACTGACAGTAGTAGGTACGTGCCGCCTTAAAGGGCCCAAGGTTATGATTGCCAGGTGTCTTAAGACGAGCTCAACGAGAACAATGACTCAGTGACGACTCGTCTAACACGACTGCTGATCATGAAATATATGCTACTAGATATCCGACACGTCCCAGTTCTTAAACACATCACTTCAACGTAAATTATGACCGAATTGCCAACCCGTCCTAATCTCACAGAACGCACACGCCGACCAAAGTAAGATGAGAATGTGAGCATGAATCGGCCCTCATACATTCTCGAATGTCGCCATATCCATCATCACCGTTTGCAGCAGGGATCAATTTGCAGAGCAAGAAGCACCTTGCAGGAGAATTTTCCACCTTCGTCACCCTCATCTCTTCAGCGCAGGTGGAGTTGCAGACAATGGCGACTTATCGGTCGATGTCGGGTTTCCTGGTGAAACTGATGCTTATCATGTCCGTGACAGCATTCTGCTTACCTTCAGTCTTCGCAGCTCGAACTCTTCTCGACCGTCCTAATCTTCCTTCTATCCCTCCTTTCCAAGTCCCTGAATTTCCAAACCTTCCTCCTCTCCCTACGTTTCCCCCTCTCTCTGATCTTCTTCCCCATCTCCCAGCTCGTCCTGCCCCAATGTCAGACTCAGCTCAGCCATCTCCTGCTCCTCATTCCAATATTCCACCACCATCTCCAGTCTCTGAATCGGCTCCCATTCCTGATCATGCAGTTTCGAAATCACCATCTCCAGCTCCTGCAACACAGTCTGAATAGGACTGGCGCCCTTTAAATTCTGAACGAGCTGGTCGGCTGTGGACAACATCTGCCACACTGGCACATGTTCCTTAAATTGACGACGACTCGAGAGGTGCAACTCCGCGTCTCGATCACTTGAGGATATCAGGCACCAATTCCGACTATTGGGAATTGATGCCAGGATTACAAATATAATTTCGGCGTGGAATGGATAATTTAGGACGTACTAGATTCCTCAATTCGGTACATGTTCATGATCATAGCTTTTGTACCTCAGGATGAAATAATTTATATCATAGAGAAGCGATTGAACTGCGGTAGAATCTTTCGATCATTCAATAAACACCTCAGAGTGCGTCAAATTATCTATTAGCTTTTCATCTTCCGGCCACTGTCCAATTCCATGTTGTGGTTGAATTCTTGGATTTCTTGACTGGAAATATTCTCTGCCGTAGGCTAATCCACTGATTGTTTAATAATGATCGTACTTCGAAAATTTGAAAACTGCCAGTCGTGCTCTTATCAAAAAGTATGTTGGAGTGATTCGACACGTCTTTCAGGTTTAATAGATCATGTGGCACTGACAAATCATCCCATACAAGTGTTTACAAACCTCGCTTAATGGGTTCTTCCCATCATCCTTTTTGTTATCTTAGTTGGACTCCCATAAAAATGTATAACGTTCTTTCCTTGAGATCCTAGCCTACACAAATGTACTTCACAATTTGCAAATGCGAAGTTAGCTGATTATTTGTTAGTTAGCTTATTAGCTTATTTACTTTATTAGCTAAAATTTATTACATATTTTAGTACATATTTCAACTTTCTGCGAGCGATGCAATTGTTTCATCAATAAATTTCAATAATCACACTGAGTTTGAATATATTTTTAACTTTACTTCACGGTCGATAACCGTTGAATTTGGAAAAATTATGAGACCTCAATATTAATTGTAATATACAGTTATCCATTTCATAACCATGATATGTTGAAATACGGTTAAATATTTAATTTTTTTATTTAATTTTTTTAAGTTCAACATTTAGCAAACGTAGCTAGAAACTCCCATCTGGACGATCCTCAGGAGAAATCACATCAAATTGTTTCACCACTGGCCAACTCAAAAAAACAAGTTTCCAAGATTACATCAGCATGCTCAAGGACAAATTAATTTTATTATCTATTTAATTCAAATTATTTATCAACATCTGAAAATTCTAACTACTTCTAGACGAAAGCTTTTATTTTCTTAAGATATGACGTGATACATATCATGCATTATGACAACGAAAAGATTTTACGTTGAAAAGAGTCTTACGTGCAAGTTAGAGATGGTCTGAAGTTAAGATTACTCAAATGTTGATGTACTTGAGTGTGGAGGGAGAAAAACAATAGTTGTCAGCATCATCTACAGTGACATAAAAAGTAATGTTGGGAGAGAAGCGGAAGAGGTACTAAAACTTGGTTCTTAATTTTATTTTCCTCTGCAAAGAAATCTCGACCTTGGCAGGTTTATCATTTTATATTATATAATTTGTAACCTCTTTTTGAAAAAGGAAAGGATGCTTATATCTATTTGTATATTCAAAGCGATATCGCCACTAGATACAGTTGATAAATTGCCAGATTTAAAATCAAGAAGTTTGGCACCGCGAGGCTCACCTAATATACTGAATTTTCTATCCGTAGGCCGGGAAGCAACAATTGGAAATATGATCTTTTGCACATCGAGACTACTTTAGCCTCAATAGGTACATCCTATTTCCCATTTATCAGTTCCGTACATCGAGGTATGAAGTGTAACTCGATGAAACCACAGCCAAGAGAGCGCACTGCCGTGTAGTCACGTGAACATTTCCATTGCAAAGGGAAAGGCGACTGAAGTTCTGATCAGAGCCCAAATCCATGTCTGATTCGTCAGGTCTTACTTCTTGGTTCAATCGAAGGGGTTGTAGAAACAGGAAAGACTTCTCATAATAAGAACTTCCTGAATCTGAATGTAAAAAGACTTTGCTGTCAATGAACGTAAACCACTTGATATTCACTTAACCTTCTCTGATTTATAGACTGAAAATGCCTCAAACGCCATCTGTTTTTCTTTGCCGCTCAGTTCATACGTTGATCCATGTTTCGACAGATATGCATAAACTGTGTCACACCTTCATGCAGGCTACAGCCCAAGCAGTTTCGACTGGAATTTTACAGCACTCTGATAGTCTGGGTTTGATCAGACACGGGTAGATGTGGGAGGGAGCGAAAGCGCGATGGTAATTGAGCTCGTGATCTGTAAGCCACCCATCCATTGGATACTTCTATTCTTCTTAAATTTCATGGCGTTGCTCTAGCGGATCCCTTGAATTCGAGAGGCAATGATCAGACTCAAATCAGCATTGACCTGTTCCATGCAGTGAAAATTTTTGAACTCTTTACGGCGAATGATTCTTTTGTAGAACGTCTTTTAAAATACAATTTCGTGTCTGGAGCATGCAGTCGTTTTTGGTTTGAACAACTAGGCAGAAGGAGATGTGATCTTCCTTAAAAGTAAGGTCCACCGATTGTTACAGTGAATATCACATTTTCCGATTGCACTGATTGAAATAATCTAATAGTGCACCATTTACCTGCTATTGAGATGTGTACTCCATTTTCCGATTGCACTGATTGAAATAATCTAATAGTGCACCGTTTACCTCCTATTGAGATGTGTACTCCATGCTAGTCTAGCAGGACGCAGACGTTTATGGCCCTTGTGATTTCGAAAATATCACTCTCTAATCTTGGTCATAACCAGTCTTCTGCTGTCATGGGCTAGATGGACACGAAAAAATTTGGATGCGTCTGTTGGTAGATTTAAGTTCTCGAGCTGGTCATTCTTACACGAGCTCTAGATTGCTTGACTTGATCACGGTGAATCAGACTGATATTTGAACGGGAACCCTTCGAGAAATCACGATTTCAGAATTCCTCTAGTCTTCTGAAATTCTTTAAAAGACCACCTCTTCGAAAACCACCACGATATAGAAGTTTATATCATCTAGTAGGAAATCTTGTGACTTAAACTTCAAATAACACGGATAGAACATTAGATCCGGGTAATGGGAAATCTGAATGGAAGATTCAGAAACAAGATTGAAGTTTATAAAGTAAAAGTAAATTTTGCAGAACTTCGGAAATCACTAGTCACTCATCAGTCTTGCCATTTGCACCACTCTACGCTCTAGTGGCAGTAGAGCTGTCCCTCTATTGTCACTATCGGAAAATCTGTGACAATGGCGAGTTCTCTGGCACTTAAAAACGATCAAATGACCATTAATTTATTTCGAACCTCTGGAGCTGACCATGATAAGAAAACCAACTTATTCTGACATAAATATAAAAGTATCAGAAATAATCGACAAGTTTGGGGTCGGTTAATACGCTGACCAAATCTACTGGCAGTCTTTTACGTATAGTTCCTTACGTGTAACCCGTAGCAGGCAGGAGTAGGTATGTGTGCTTTCAGGCCCATAGATTATCAATGCCAGGTGTCCGAGCTGAACGAGTACAATGACTCAATTAGAAATCATCGACCACGACTCCTGATTTCGAATATAGGCTACTAGAAATCCGACACGTCCGAGTTCTATTTTACTATCTGCATGCCACTGTGCTGGTAAGTACAATGCTTCAACGTAGATTATGACAGAATTGCCTACCCGTCCTAATTCTCACATCACGCTCGCGCCGACCAAGGTACGATGAGAATGTGAACAGGTGAATCGGTGCGTATAAATTCTCTAATGTGAGCATATCCATCATCACCGTTTGCAGCAGGGATCAATTTGCAGAGCGAGAAGCACCTTGCAGGAGAATTTTCCAACTTTGTCATCCTCTTCTCTTCAGCGCAGATGGAGTTGCAGACAATGGCGACTTATCGGTCGATGTCAGGTTTCTTGGTGAAAGTGATGCTTATCATGTCCATCACAGCATTCTGCTTACCTTCGGTCCTCGCAGCTCGAACTCTTCTTCACAGTCCCAATCTTCCTGCTATCCCTCCTTCCCAAGTTCCTGAATTTCCACATCCTCCTCCTCTCCCTACTTTTCCCCCTCTCTCTGATCTTCCTCCCCATCTCCCAACCCGTCCTCCCCCACTGTCAGATTCAGCTCAGCCATCTCCTGCTCCTCATTCTAACATTCCACCGGCACCTCCAGTTTCTGAATCACCATCTCCAGCTCCATCTCCTTCAACATAGTCTGAATAGGACTCTTGGCCTTCAAATTGTGGAATTGCGAATTGTGTCAGGTGTCGACAGCACCTGACACACTAGCACATGTTACTTGAACTACTGACGGGTTATCCTTTGTCTCTGGTTTTCTATGGACGACTTTCGCAGCTTCCAATAATAATCATATCAAACTCTCTGCACTTGAGCTCTAGAGTTGCAAATTTACGTCTCCAAACACCTGAAGATATCCAGGCACCAATCGAGATCGGTGCCAGGAATAGAAATTCATCGTTGAATAAATCAACTGGCTCGTAGTAGCTACTTTGCTTCTGTCCGTGCCGTGATAATTCCTACTGTATCTCAGGAGGATGAAATAATCCATATCCTAGAGAAAGGACTGATATGAGGTAGAAGCTTTTGATAATTCAATAAACACAGAAGCATCGGAGATTCCTATCAAATTTTCTATTCTCTTTTCATCTTCCGGCCGATTTCCATATGAATTCTTCATTTCGATTGGATTTCCCTCTGCCGTAGCACAGATCACTGACTGTATAATAATATTCATATTATGTGAAATATCAATCTCCAAACTGTGTTATTATTAGGGCTCCGATCGGGTTCGGGTAAAACTCGAGTTGGGGTCTGATCTGGTCCGGGTAGAGGGTTCGACCCTACCCGAAACGCGAAAATCAGACTGGGTCGGCGGAGCCGTTGGAACGAGACGATGTTTTGTTATCAGAGAACTCCGGGATAGACTTTCTTGTAACAAAAAGTGAATAGTTTAGGGTCTTCGATGGGATGATTCACCGAACTCACGAGAACGTGAAAGTATACCAGCGTTCTATAGATCTTCGAAGATTGCTGATGACAACAACTGGAAATATCCGAAGTGATTGTGCTGACATGAGTAAAGCAACCGCATATAGAGCTCAGCTGCAAGCCCAGCTGTTCCGTCATCGTCTGCATCGGATTTCACTCCCTTTCGAAAAACTCTGCTCTTCCTTTCATGTCTTGCACACCAGAGTTTGCATGTCCCGCTTGCTGCGCAACTCGCTCGATGCGATGCAGGCATCCTCTCTTCCATGTTGGCTTTTGCGTCTAGTTGGCCGCGGTGCATTACCTATGCTTCTCGTGCAGCCTCCTTGTAAATTTCGTCGTCACGACGAGTATCTCGTCGTCAAGAAAATACTCGAACCTCCAATTTCTCGATTCTCCCTCGCCGTTCCTCCACTCTCCGTCCTCTCACGATCATGGATACTCCGCGATATCGATTCGGGTAGAACCCAAATCTACGCGAATCCGACCCGGTTTTTCGGTCTGGTTCGGGTTGAAAGTCAAACCCGACCCGAACGGAGCGTTGGTTATTATTATAAGAAAGAATGGGTAATCTTTTTATACTAGATTATTTTTTTGGTTTCTTGCTTTTTATACTTAGAGATCATGTGACAATGACAAGAGAACAAATGTAAACTCCCGGTTAATAGCGTCTTCCGACCGTTTTCATAGATCGTTACTATCTACATTCTTTGATCTCTCACAAGCATATACAACTTTTCGACTTGTAAGCATAGCCTACAGAACTCTCTATCAAATTTTTTCAAGAATATTTCCCTCTTGAACTACTTAAAGGTTTCTTTGAAAATCGACAAGGACAGTCGACTCTCAAATTTGTTTTAAAAGATCTTGTTTAAAACATATTCAACGTTAAACATGAAGCTTTGGGAATATGTGATGGATACTAACATTAATTATTTCTCTGTTCAAATTCATACTTTTCAGTATATGAATAATAGTATTTTTATGTACATATTCAAAACAACTCAACTTGAAATCTTATAAACATGTCATAACTAAAGTTAACTGCACTTAATTAGAAGATTGATTTCTGGAAACATGATCTTGTTACAAAGAGCAAATACTTATAACTTTTCTTTAAATAATAATCAATATTTGTTGAACTAATGTGATTGATATATTTATTTAATCTCACTCATTTTTTGCACTCATTCTGAAAAGATTTAGGATAGACATGAAAATTATTTCTGATTATTTTTGTGTCAAAACTTGAGGCTGGACGTTACAATGACATATTTGTAGCATATTTTAGATTTATGTTATGTAATAAAATAAGTGATGAATTCAACACTTTTCTGAATTTTTATTAATATAAAATTACACAATTCATTCCATATACTGAATATATCCACACTGACTATTTTATGTACATTGGTTTTCATGTTGATTATACTAAAACAAGCATTCTAACATAACAAACATAATCAAGACATGAATCATCTCTACAAATCTAAAATCATGGAAACACAATCATATGTTACTAAACTTAATTTGAATTTCTGTACTTCAGAGCTACAATTCATTTTGTAATATAATAATAGGCACAATAGTCTTATTTGCTACAGTTACAAAGACTAGACTTAACTAAACGTAAGAAAACTTGTAATAAATCAATTTAACAACTACGACGTTGATATGATGAATGTTTTTTTTATTCATGGTGTTCAAATAAATATCAATAACATGTTTGCTAAAAATAAAACATGCATATATATATATATATTATTAAAAATGAACATGATGCTTTACTATATATATGTTCTATTTAAAGTTACCATGAGAAAATCTAAACTTTTTTGTATCTATTTATTTAAAGTATTAATATTATCATAAGTTACTCTGTTAGCATATAAGACATTTGGTTGTAGTTTTTGACCCAAAATTTTTTAAATCTTTACAATAATATTGAGTCATAAGATTATTGTCAAAAAAAGGATAATGGATATTTTCAATTTATTGATTGTTACTTATATTTTTTGTTTGTGTGAAAATTTTTGAATTTGAATAACAAATGTATCAAAATGAAATTATTGAAACTTGATCAAACCAAGAAAATAAAAATAACATAAAATTGATTTTTTGTGCGATTTCAGGTGTATCAAATCTCTACAGAATTTTAACGAATAATCAAGTACAATCTAATTTTTATTTTTGACGAAAAAAATCCTCATGAAATTGTGATGATGCTTGTTGTTGCAAAAAATTTTATAATATTTTGAAATATTGATATATTTGTTGCTAAATGTTCAGATTACTTACAAAAAGACCTTATGTTTACGTTAGTATGTGTAGTTAGTATGTAGAATTTTTATTTTATTTTTATATATATAACTATTTAAGCTCATTGTTAAGATAATGCTGGTTTAATGATTAATAAAATTTTTTTAATAAAAAAGAAGTCTTATGCCTATGAATGAATAATTTGCATAGTACTTGTTAGCTAGATCTCATGTGTTGAGTGTAGATGTCATATGCTATAATTGTGACATATTTTTTTTTAATATTCATATTTAGATATACTTCATACTCATGATATTCATGATGTGCAAGTAAAATGGAAAAATTTCTGTGAAAATTTGTCAATATATTACTTATATTGGCAACTTGGACATACATACAAGTATTTTTACTTAGAATACTTGATTGACCTCAACATTGATTTGATTTTGAAATAATAATTGATATTATCTTTACTTCATCATAAATTCATTTTTGCAAGTTGCAAGAGGGAGAAAAATTTGAAACTTTGAAAAATTATCTCTATAGCTGTGCATGCAAAGAACCTCATTATTGCATACATTTTATGACTTCGTGGTGTCACTTACAATGAAATTCAATTGTATCAGAATGCCAAAATGCAAATGCAAGTCATGCATTAAGAAGAGAGCGCTTCATTGGGATCTGTTAATGGTATTATATAAAAACAAAGGGGAAAGCATCTCGTGTCTGGACTACCACGGATTACACTAGAAATCGCGAAATCAGACGTATATATCAAAGATAGAAGAGTGAATGTGGCGTGAGTGAGGGAGTGAGTGAATGTGGGGCGAATGAATGAAGTATATACAAAACAAGAGCATCCAAAATCATGAATTAAAGCGATAGCCTTGTAATAAATAACGTTAACTAATGTTAGTAAAAGAAACGCTAGCATGGTCAGAAGATAAGTAAATCAGCATTGAAAGAAACAAGAGCATTGTCGGGGAGGTCTTTAATTGATGTACCCCATGGTAACCTAAATTGTTTGATGGGACTTATCATATTTTGTTTTACCCGATGACACACCATCGGCAACCAACGGAAAGTTTTAATACACGTTCTTGTACATTAAAACTCACATCATATGCAAGCTTTAGAGGAACTCTACGATCGCATAAAGATAAACTTTGACAGACATTGTCCCAAGTGCCCAGAAATTAGAATCGGCCGTGTGAAATTTGTGGAAGAAATTCACACGTAGTGAAGCGGAGGATTTGTGAATTCGAGTGTGGTAATTTTACAAATTTTAAAGCTATGGGAAAGTCTCGAACGAAGAAGGCTCCGGATCTGATTCCACTTAGTGGATATTTGAGCTATTCAATGATGGACGAAGAGTACAGTCACATGACGAGTACCATCACATGAGGAGAGTCTCGCTATCATAGTTGCACTGCTTGCATCTTTTGTTGAGACTAGAACATGCGTGATGTGTACAGCCTATGGGGTCCCATCAGTTGTTTTACCGTATGGGTCCAATCGGGTAAAACAAAACTTAAAGATTCCCAATAAGCAATTTAGGTTCTGACGGGATCCCATTAAGTAAATACCTCCATGGTCAAGAGTGTTTTACTCTAAGTATTCATCATCGCATAGATATATTTTTTTGAATTTTGGGCGACATGATATTTTCTTGTTTACTCATCTACCATCTACATTTAAGTCATTTTCTTATGAAGAAATGAATATATATATGTATCATCTAAATATCAGATCATAACTTTTTCTCCAACTTTGATTAGTATGTCACTTTTGCACTCAATTTTTCCCTTTTGAACATCTATTAAAATTTTTAATCACACAATGTATCACAAGTCATCATTCAAAATATTTTCCATTAAATTATTGTATATTTCAGCCTTTCATGCGGATTTCTTGCAAATTTCATGAAACCATATTCTATCATTAAACTTTTAACATTAATGCTTCAAACACAAAGACGAGAGCAGAATGTCCTTACGGTCAGTTCGAGGGACAAAAAGTATTCAGACATATCCCTTCGTAGTGGTAACCTGAACGAAGTCAGATGTTATAATAAACAGCATGCACGTTGGAATGCACATGTCAACCACAAACATGCATGTCCTCGTGAGGTTCTATAAATAATCAGCGAGTCTTTAGTAATAAAAACTTATAGAAGTCCACTGGGTTCTTCCCCTTTAATCGCAGTCAGAAGTGTGACTGCTGCTGTGCGCATCCTCTATCTGCCAACACGATGAATAGAAAGATAGAGAGTAGCACAACCATACGCTTCCTGTCTTACACTTCCATTGACAATGTTTCCATAGTATGCTGAACCAGTCTCACGCTTTCTCTTGTCTAGCTCTAATAAGAACTTCGTTGTGAAGATATGCTGCACTTCTTGCGATGTATCTGCAATTGATTTGATTCAGAACTTGGTCTGTCTTAGACCAAGCCTTCGGTCCCTAGACTGGTAACTGATTAGCGCATTCTTCATCGAATCACGTCTAAACTCGGGCCAGTTTTCCTTCAAAAATACAAACTCGGTCCACGCCGTCTGCCATAGAAGGAAGTTGCTAATTCTCTGCTCTCCGCTTGTTCGAATCATAAGATCAACACTGGATGGATTCACGTTTTTTGTCATGAGGTGTGACTCGAACACCTCCAGTGTTATCTCATCGATGGAGAGTTCTGTGTTAGCCACCAGTTGAGATATTCTTTGCGTAGCTTGAAGAATGTCCTGTCTTCCACCGTACCCGGCTGCCACAACAACCTTCAGTCCCTTGTTGTTGCGAGACTCTTCCGTCACCTTAGCCACCAGTTTTTGCAAAGTCTCAGGAAATCTCTCTGGGGTGCCCATGACCGAAAACTGAATGTTATACCTGTACAATCAACAGCGTATAAACTTTCGTTATAGATCATCAAGGCCAGGCCGCAGGGCATTGCCAAATGCTGTGATATTTACGCAAGAGATAGTAACTGACAGATACAAAAATATAGATTGTTTTAACTCAACCATCATGAAATTTTTTCTAGTATTAGGGAGGAATATGGACAGTACTTTTAGAGAATTTGAAACAGATAACGAAACAAAAGCCAGGTTTTCTGACCTCATTACGGCTTCTCTGTACTTGATCAGATATATCTCGAAAAGCCCAAATATTGTTTCAACTTCAACCTGTATCCAACCTCCATCACACCTTCCGCTTCAGAACCATCAAGTCCACATCTACCGCTGGTCATGCAGTGTCATCAAACTGGAACCTAACTTACAACACCTTGACGATATTCTGGGCACACCTAAGCATGAAGAACTCTAAACGGGTCCGGACATAACATGTTACGCTCTTTAAACTGCAATATAACCGGAAATGGGTTTTAGAAATAACCTTTTCTCGATTCCAATTGTCGTAAGAAAAGTAAAAGAGTGTGAGTATCTCGATTCCCCAATCAACGCTGACTCTCACAGCGTCTTTGAGACTCTTCTTGAGCCCAACTTCGAAGCCTTCACTTCCCCTCACGCCTCTCGCCTTCGAGTAACGATTGTTGCCATCTAAGATAAGAGCAACATGCTTGGGCATTACCTCAGGATTCAGTTCAGGGGGAAGTTCGATCCTCCTCTTCGTCTGGCTCAGATCTGCACAACTGTCAGCTGATGCGGTCCCGGCTGTCTCATGCAACATACCAACGCAGCCATTCACTGGCGCACCAGGAAACGGCTTGCGGCCGAGTGTTCTGGAGAGTGAAACACGAAGTTCACGAGCTCGGTGACTGCTGATGCTCGCGCCAGGTATCGTTGATCTACTCATGCTTAGCTCCATCGGTGCTGCAGCTTCACAATGCGTCTTGTAAATCGTGGACAATTGTACGGATTTCAGATTCACACATCTTGCCACCACAGACTCCATGAAGCAGAGCCGACTGCTAACAGGATTCACTCAGCTGAAATTGTGATACTTAAGCGCTTTGGTCCGAGGCTTCGATAAACTTGCTGCATGTTAGAATCTGATCTTAGGTATTAATATGGTTAGCTTGAATCCATTTTAAAATGAGTGTATATAGAATGTTTTGTGTCAATGAAACATAAGTATATATCAAGGTATGATCAATTCATCATAATGTTATTTTGTTTTATATATTTTGACCATATGATCTTCCCTTACATGCTAATTAAACAAATTTTCATCATTTTATCAATAAGTATTTAATGAATTTCAGCATTGTATGATTCAACTGATTATATGATGCAAAAAATTTGATTTGTTTATTTTAAGCAATCAAAAACATCAATTATTTATTATGTTTCTCATGTGTTTCAAACTTTTTGCTTCAGCAAGTTGACAGTTTTAATTATCTTCTAATACGCGATATCCTCTTCAGAACATAACTATTTTTTTATGAAAATAATTTTTATTTTTGAAATGTGTATCTTTTATTATGTAATTATATATATTATTTCTTTCAGATTTTGATGTTCTTACATCAATGTGTTTATCTACTCTAAAGGAAATAAATTGTAAGTTTACCCACAAGTCATTTGAAACGGCGTTCGACGTTAACGTTTGTCAGCTGCATGAAGTGACCAAAGTCACGATTAAAATTTTTTTATCGATCGCTTAATCGTTGAAAAACAATTATTTCAACCTTGATTTTTCTTTTTGTCACTAATTTTCCAATTCCATGCGATTTTCACAGGCTTCAACTTCAGACTCTAAGAAAAGAAAAATGAGAGCTGCAAAAACATTCTATTTTTGAGAGTCCTTACAATTATCCAGTGTTAAACCCAAAACGGTTTGAAAGTTGCAATCAGTCTGTCTGGGTCTTCTCATAATTCAGATGATTGAAGTGGTTCTATAAAATGCATTCTATATTTAATCCTATCATTTTCAACTAATCGGGTTGAGAGACATTGGAGACATTGGACACTTGCACTAAATTAAGCAATCAATAATTTGCTCGGTTATAGCATCTAGGCGTCTCAAAAACCATGAGTGGTAAAACTGACAGCCACACATGACATTGATTCACATCAGAGCACCATATATTTCAGGAATTCTCATCTAATTACGGTCAGTGGAATGATACAGCACGATTCTTCAGCGACGATGTTCACTTTCTTTTCATTGTTGCAAGTTTGTCAAGTCAAACCTTCCGTTGCATGTACTATTTTCACATCGCTAAACAAGTCAAGAATGATCTCGGGTCGTCCGACTTTAAATCTAATCGAAGACTGAGGTCGAACACGAACTATTTTAGGAAATTTGCACTGAGTGGTATTGACTCATGATAAAATCTGCAATGTCTGCAATATCAGCCTAGCATGATCGGACTGGTGAGCAGTATTTATGGAGGCTCTGGGGATCATGGTATTTGTATCGGTAGTATCTTGAGTATCTCTTGCGATCTGTTCGTCTGTGGATTGGGGAAAGTGTTCTTCACTCGGTCACTTCCCTTCACATACGCGATGGCGGCAAAAGCTCACAGGAGTTTCTCCAAGCTTATGAGTGTGAATTCGAGGTTCTTGTCCAGGAAAAGCGAGGGCCAGAATGTCGCAGTGAAAGTGCCGATGCAGAATAATGTAGCATCCAAGGATCGAGTGGTCGCCTTTTATGGCAGAGCAGCGTCACAGGCAAGGAGCCACCAAATTCAATCAGCAGCTTCATCACCTCAGCTGCCAGTTCCTCAGAAGGAGGAAAACCAAGTACCCGATTTCACTCATCTCTATGAGGACCGTGGACTGAATCCTCTGATAGCCGAGTTCAATGAAAAGGCCCACGATTGGCTTGTCACGCACGATGTCCACACTCAGATGGGCCCGGAGGGATGGAAGGAATTCAAGTCAGGAAGAACCCCGTATTTGGTGGGTGAAGTGTACCACGACGTTGATCGGAAGGACTTTCTTTGGTGTGCCAAGTTTATAGCTTGGATTTCCTGTCTTGATGATTTTTGCGACAAGCTTGAAATCTGGAGCGACATGAATAAAACCATCGGTCTCATCCTCGAAACGCAGAAGGTTATCTTGTGGTTCTGCTCTGAGGACCCTCGTCTCCTCCGAAACTTGGAGATGGTGTTCGATTGTATCCCCACCGACCAACGTGACGATGTCTTTAGTGCATTTGCGGATTCCCTCGCCTACGCCCGCACCAGCTCTCGCGCAGGTGTTTCATTGATCTTAGTTCATGGGCTAGTCTCGCGTACACCTCCACGCAGTCTTTGTGTTATTTAAATTTAAACGAGTTATCCAGGTCTGCATTCTGATAGCTATGGATCTCAAAACGATGACATCGTAAACTCTGACATAACTATCAATTCTGAAGCTGTCAATTAGTAGAAGTGGAGGTTAATATGTTATTCATTTCAGCTCTTCGACCTCTAATATTTTTTCAATGGTTGTTGCAGGACTGATGAGTTTAGATTTGCAGCCTTTAGCATCAGCTCTCAGAGAATTATTAATTGAGTACTGTGAACGCCTGCCATATGACTGCAATGTCAGAATGGCCCAATATATACAGAATTATGCATTGACAATTGTTACTGAGACGAAGAGCAGATTATCCGCAGAGTATCATACTTCAGTGGCTGAATTCACCGACTTTCGAACGCGATCCATTGGCGTGCAGCCCCTGATAGTAAGCTTTCTTTTTCATTACGTCACGATTGCTTGCAGAATCGCGACCATGACATCCTAGACTCCATGTCCTCTGCTTGCAAGAACGTGCTCACGTTATGAGCATCGATTGGCTGAATCGGGATCTGTCAGTCATGACGCGAAGGGACTTGTTGGTCTTAACTTCTGTCATATTTAAGGCTTGATTACTGCCATACGAGACTTTGGTTCTTGACTTTAGTTTAGACTCTGGTTTAGCAGAATGAGCTGTAAACAATTGTCAACACGTTGCTGAAAGCTGCTGAAATGCATTCAAAGAGTTCGACCACGTTGTGCATTTAGTATCATCTCAAGGTCCACAGTAGGTTCTCAGCAGTCTTACGAGTTCAACCTTGTGCAGGGTTTGACGGATCTCTTCATCGATTCTCGACGGTGGCCCCAAATTCCGAAGGATGTGTTTGTCGATACAAACGTGCAAGCCCTCGTGGACGCTTCCTGCCGTGCCGTAGCATGGGACAACGATATGTCCTCATTTTCAAAGGTAAGAGGAAAATTTCCGCTGACAGTGCCATAGACATAACAATATCACAAGAGTCCTATTATCAAGATTGTGTTTAGGCGAGTAGCTCCAGTCATTAGTGACGTGTACCCCTTGGTTCCAATGTCTGTCGAGCTTTCCAGAAGTCCGTAGCAGCACTTTTATTTTGGTCCATTTCCAAATTAACTGTGAAAGTCTTTATTTTGAAATTCTTTTCCAAAGTCTCCTGTGGTTTTTCTTTTAGCGCTAATTCAGTTTAATGTGAGCAAGGGATTGGTCACGGGCACCTAGGTCAGTATTGTCTCCAGAGGTAGGAAACAAAAAAGACTGCAATGGAATATTGAGAACTAGAACTTGATCTTTCTGGGGCACAGTCTTACAAAGGCTTTATGAGTGCCTTAGGAGGTTCAAGAGCGAGGAGATCGTTTCAATGTGATCTTCATCATCATGGAAGAATGCGGATGTTCGCAAATCGAAGCTATGAATCGCGCGAAGGAAATGTTTCAAAACGAGATCAATGAGTTCGAGACAAGAGTGGCAAACTTGAAGGTTGAACCTCAGTATCAGAATGCTGTGGCAGAGTACGTGAGAATATGCAGACTCATTATTCTAGGCATCCCACGATGGCATCGTAAGTCACAAAGATACCAAAAAGAGGACCACTACTTGAGATAAAGAGTCATCTATCGGCTAGAGCTTTTGTCATATATCAAGTCAGCTCTTAAGGAGCCGACTGATGGTCAAGTCAGTATTATCGCTCATATCTTATATAAGAATAAAGGTTTGTAACTATGATTTCGTCAGAGTGGCGTTTATCTGTTGAGAGAAGGTCAAGAGTTGAATGATCGAAAAAGCTTCAAAGCTAATTGGGTTTAGATTCAGTGAAGCTTTTTCGACCCAAACACAGACCACACAGGTTTGTGCAAAGATTCAAACGAGCGGGGTTAGCATGTTGTTTGCCAGAGATAGTTCTCGCAGACTCCTTGATGACAATGAGCACACTGAGTCTGGAATAGGTCCGTGAAGCAGGTTCTGACCGAGGTCTAGGAATCTGAGAACGGAAAGCTAGAAGAGGACGTCTGGTATCGATCCTAAGAGCTGGTTATCATGAATATCAGGAGTCCCTAGCCTAGCAAGATTTCCAACAGCCAGAGGATGATATAAGCCAACCTCTTCGAACTCAGGGCCAGTAGACCACCCGGCACACTCCAATCCAGTTACTGCAAAAGCTCGACCAGGTACAAGCCATAGAAAGAAAATTACTTTCGAATGAGTGTCTGATATTCACAAGTGCCTCAAAATCTGTTCCTGCGCTGGGCGTGTTCGATAACTGGGCCAAAACTATTTCTAGTCCTTTCAAAATTGTAATGAAGAACAAAAGATAGACAAGAAGTGGCCAGCGCCTACAAGGCACATACTGTACTCCTCTCGCCAATTTCTCCATCGGAAACAGCAAACATCGAAGAGCAACATCAAATCCTCTCCGCAGCATGTCATCACGGACTCTTAAATCACGGTTCCGGAGCATCTGAATCCAAGTTCTTCGTCGCTTCGTAAACCAACGATTTCCCCAGAAAATGGTGCTGGGTGTGTGTAGATCGCTGCGATTCCTCGTCAGCTCTTACACTACCATCAATATTCTTAGAGCTCACGAGGTTACTGCAATGCCCCAGATGTCAACCTGAGACAAGCTTGTAAAACAAGCACTTCTGAGTAAAAAAGATATCCCCTGTTAAAGCTACATTTGTGAAGAACGGAATATTGTTGAGGCTTGGAAGAGATCTAGAGATAACCGTGATGCGCAGAGTATCACATTGGTGCTTTGTGTCTGAAGAACGTTGCGATTATTCGTCAGGTCTTAAAATACGATCGAAATTCTCAGAGCTGACAAGGTCACTGCAATGCCCCAGAAGTCAACCTGACACCAGCTTGTAAACAAACACGTCTGAGTAAAGAAGGTGCCACTTGTTAAAGCCGCATTCTTGAAACACGGAGTATGATTGAGGATCGTAAGAGATCTAGACATAGCCGTGATGCGCAGAGTATCACGTTACGGGATCAAGTTTCAAGCGGAGCATGAAGAAGGGCTAAAAACTAGCTTCTTCTCATCACTCTTCAAAAGCTTACATATAGCAGGAATACGGTGCTTGTCCAGGAATAAAGTTTTTTTATGTAATCTCTTGTAATGATCAAAATAAATTAAACTATCACAAGAAAATTAGTAAGTTTACATGGCAAAAGAAAATTTATCCTTAAAAATATTATACGGAAAGGGTGTTCGCCTTTACATCAATCTTCTATCTTAGTTTTAGATCTACATGAAGATTAGGCTTTTAATTTTCAGGTTAAGAGCGTTCATTATTATGATTATTTTGAAGAATATGTATTATGTATATGAAAAATTATTTATCTGTGGTAACACACTTTTTGTTTTTTTTGCAAAATTTAAACAATTTTAGAAAACAAGTACCGAAGCAGTGTCTGAAGTTAGGAAATGGTACGTTAAATAGAGTGGATTGAGGAGATCGTCACGAGGTCACGAAGAAGCGCGAAGTTGGACGTATCAGCGCCAAATGCCTTCGGCGCCTTCGGCAAGATCTCCTTTGCTGAGGTGTCTCTACTCACGCGCTTCCAGCGTTTAGGGAAGGTACGCTTCCGGCACAGACACCTCCGGAGGAGATCTCGCTGAAGACGTCAGGGCCGGCAAGGACCTCTGAAGGCTTCCGACCATGAGTGCGCCTTCGGCGATGCGCCGCTAGCGCGGGAGGGAAACCTTCATAACAATCAGGATTCACGGTAGTTCCAGTTGGTTGAGGTTGCATTGGAAAGAGCTTGGAACGGTCGTTCTAACGAGCCCAAGAGCGCCGGAGATGGATCAGGGACAAAGAAGTTATGAGCGTCGGAAAACTCGCATCCGGACATGCGCTGTTCGCGCTAGGGTTCACCGTGGGAAAGGACTTCCGTACGCCTTCGGCGATGCGCCTTGGGCGGAACCACGCGCTCATAAGAGAAAATCAACTCAGAGGCGGAAGCGCCTTTGGCGGCTGCGAGACGGAAGAGAAGCGCCGGCCGGATGTACGCCTCCGACGTGGCGCGGATAGGCAGGTGCGCTGGCATGATTTGCGCCGGCGGGATATGCGCCGTCGGCGATAGGCGGGGCAGAACGGACAAAACAAGTGGTACGAATACGCGCCGGCGTAATTCGCGCCGACTTGATGTGCGCCTCCAGCGAGGCGCCGACGGAGAAGGAATACGCCAGCGGCGATACGCCTCCGGCGATGGTCAGGTTAGGAAAAGACAACCTAGTCGAAGCATACGCTCCACTGCGGCGAACTCGAGTCCGGAAGACGGCGCCGAACTCGAGTCCGGAAGACGATGGCGGCGGGAGAATTCAACGTTCACGCATGCGAATGCGCGCAGTGCGGAGACGTGAATTCGAGCATGCGAGGGAGAACCGTTAGGCCATATAGCCGGCTGCATAATCAAGTTTGATTGTAACAAGTGAGAACGTTGGGCGATCTTGAATGCGGAGAAGAAAAAACTGCTCTCCAGTCTCATTCTCTCATTCTTGATTATGAGTTTTCCAGCTTCAGAGATTACGCGCAAGGGCGGAGAGACCTGCAGTGAGAAGAGAGAGTGCGGAGACGAGTTGCGCAAGGATCTTGACAGACCTTGCAGAGAGTTTGCGAGCAGCGAACTTGAGCGCGCAAGAGAGGAGAAAGCGATTTCAGTCAGTGTCTGAGCGACCGACGCGCAGCGGCGATTGTGAGAGAGCGGGCGGAAGGGAGAACGTCTGTGTGTTTGCAGGAACAGCCAGAAAGATGTCGAAGGTCCCGCAGCTACGAGTGTCTCCACTCAGAGTGCAGCAGATCGGTCTGCGCGCGTTCCAAGATGTGTTAACAAGGCTGAAGCTTGATTTCCTCCTGTGGGGATGGAAGTGGACATGTCCGGAGATGGTGCGCGAGTATCTACAGGAGAAACACAAGCCCTCGCGCGGATTCCGCCCACATCCCGAGAGGTGGGACATTAGTGATTGGGCGCAGGTGTTAGGAAGGTGTGCAGGCGAGGAAGGGTTTCTCCTCTTCGAGGCCGAGAGCGTGAAGGTGTCCAAGGAGGAAGAAATCTCCTACAATGATCTTTTCAAAGTTGCCAGGCATCCCAAGAACGGTTTCCGGACACGGGATTACAAAGATTGATTGCGGAGAAATGTCGCGACTGCATTGCTGCAGATATTGCAGCCGACCAAGACCGCCTACATGCATGGTTGGCAAGTGGGATTTGTGGAGCTAGTGTTGTCAGGAGCTCCGGTTCATTGGGCACGACTCCTGTGGAAGGTGACGCGCCAACATGCGCAAGAAGAGAGAGGAGGGACCCTCAATCATCTTTCGCCTTAGCTGATTGTGTTTTATCGAGCGATGGGATGTTTAACAACTTCGGAGCGGACACGGTTTCCGCTGCTGACCCGGAGTTATCCAGGTAGATATGTGGTAACCCACTTTTTGTTTTTCGCCGGAACTAAAACATTTTTGATTAGTAAGTACCGTGGTAGCAGCTGTAAATAGTAATCGGTACGCAAAGCCAGAGTAAAAAGAGGATCGAGGACAGTCAAGGGGTTTTGGGCTTAGGCCACAGTGGAACGCTTGGAATGGAACGGGCGGTTCACACTGCAGGACTCGCTTCGAGCACCTTCGGCGGTAGATCACTCATAACTTCCTCAATTCTTAACGCCTTGAGTTACTTACGGTCTCGTTGGAAAGAACTCGACGCGCTTGTTCTAACGAGACCAAGAACGCCTAGAACGGATGAGGACTCAGGGAGTTGTGACTGTCGGAAGATGCGAAGGAGAACGCCTACGGATAGGCGGAAGGAGTTCGTCGTCGGCAGAATATCCACCTTCGGCCCTGGATGTTCGCCTTCCGCGATGGACGTCTTCGGGTCAACTTCAAGTCGGCAAACTCGGAGTCGGAGAACTCGGGGTCGGCGAACTCGAGGTCGGAGAACTCGGAGTTGGCAAACTTGAGGTCGGCGAACTCGAGGTCAAAGAACTTCAAGTCGGCAAACTCGAAGTCGGCAAACTTGAGGTCGGCAAACTCGAGGTCAAAGAACTTCAAGTCAGCAAACTCGGAGTCGGCAAACTTGAGGTCGGCGAACTCGAGGTCGGCGAACTTCAAGTCAGCAAACTCGGAGTCGGCAAACTTGAGGTCAGAGAACTCGGAGTCGGCGAAACATCATGCGGGCGCCTTCGGCGATAACAGATAACAAGCCTTCGACAGTGTGCCTTCGGAGAAGGATAAAATCGGCATAACTCTTTCAATTCTCTCTAACTCGTAACGGTTTGACTCAGTTAGGGTCTCGTTAGAAAGAGCTCGACGCGCTCGTTCCAACGAGCCCAAGAACTCTTGAAACGGATCAAGGATCTGTGAGTTATGGGTGTCGGGAGTGACTGTTACAAATAGGCAAAGGTGCGGAAGTGCGTCTTCGGCGGTCAACGCCTTCGGAGAACTCGGAGTCGGCGAACTTGAGGTCGGCGAACTTCAAGTCGGCAAACCGGATGCGGTTCAGAGATCTTGCGGAGTCCATATCTTTGTGATGGACGGTCGGATGGATCTGAAATTTGGTGGGGCTGTTGATCTCAGTCGGCCACGCATGCCTGCAAATATTCAGCCTCAGATCTCGGATGTAAAGACGCTGGCGGCTCTGTACAGTAGGCTTAGGATTCAGATTTAGGGTTAGGGTTAGATTTAGGTTGTAAGTTAGAGGGGAAGGCAGCCGCCGACTCCTCAGGTGTAGGATCTGTTG